GGGCACTGCACTAGGACACGGCACTACACCTCCGGAACACTCACAGGAAATCGCGAGAGAAACGCGAGAACTTCCTATACCGTACCGAAACGCAGCTAGAAAAACTATAAACAAATAGCACGGGAGCGCGAGGCAGCTCGTGACACCTCGGTCGATGCCCCGAGACAGACTGCTTTGACAAAATAGTCAAATTCGAGAACTAATAATTCTGATTGGTCGAGATCCTTATACATTGCATTGGCATAACTATACAAATCAACCCGAGAGCGCAGCTTCTGAGCAGGGTGGCGACCGGAAGGGAACAAGAAATCGAGAACGTTATCCGTATCGGTAGCCGGAGCCGCCTTGGGACTGTCAATCGAAAAATCACGTCACAATATTTATACCAACTTCAAACACAACATTCGTTGTAAATAATTACATTTATTCCTTTATCAATTGTACAATATATAATAACAAGATAGATTCAATACAGAATGTGTTCAATATATCGTGTACTATTTAAAACGATTAGTATGTAAGTGTTTGTAAGAATATAAAGCGGATGTAATTTATTGGTCACGATAATATTAAGGTTTCTTCATATTAATTGCTTCTTTTTTTTTTTCCTAATTGCGTTATATATTTTTCATTTTTAGCGCATTGGATAACATCATGTCTTATATCATTAATTAATCACGTGTCTCGTGTGATTTGTGTGAATAAGGCCACAGATAGTTTGTCGTATGCACTCTTTTTGTCCCCTATGTTTTGTGTTTGTGTAGCGTCTCTTATGCGTGTTATTTGGGCGCGCGGCGAATGCTCGCGTGGGTAAGTGTAAGTGTGTAAGTGCAAGTGCGAGTGCGAGTGTTGGTGTGTAGGTGTAGGTGTAGGTGTAGGTGTAAGTGTAAGTGTAAGTGTAAGTGTAAGTCCGCGTGTGCTCATGTATGGTTTCATGTGTGTGTATGTACGTGTGCGTAAATATATGTTAAAAAAAAAGAGTGTAAATCATGATTCGTGCGAGCGACTATGAAGATGACTCTATTACTCTTCTATAAATAGCGGCAATTCTAGAAGATCCCGTCGAATCGCACGATCGACAGTTGGTAGGTACGACAGTCTATATTAAACAGTGTTATTATAGCTTAATGTATCGCTTACCTTAATATACGATGATCGTAACCGTGGTATATCAGAATTAAAATTATTTTCATCGAGTCTCAGTATCTTCAAACTTTTGCTATTCGCAAAAGTATCTTCCAGTACGTAATACAAATGATTTCTGGACAAGTCGAGGACGGCGAGGTCATCGAGAGCAGTAAATGCATTCAAGTCAATTTCATTGATGCTGTTACCAGATAGGTTAAGATACTTTAATCTCGTAAGCCCAATGTTCTACGAAAAATTGTAAAAATTTTTTAACGAAAATAAATAACTCGTACGGTGATGCAAATTAGGTACAAGATATGTCAATAAAAGAAAGAAGCAAATGCATGATACATATGTCAGAAATAGTTCTAACGATACGCAGATGGCGCTGATCGTACTTTAATACAATGGACATACAATTAATTGTAATATTTACAGCCAGCTCGAAGTTTCCAAGAGACGACACTGAATTGTTCGATAAATCCAATGCCTGCACGATAGCCGGAAGTCCAGTCTGCACGCTGTACAAGTTCTTATTGACACAAGCAGCTCTACGAAGTTTCAACCACATGTCGCAGATACAAAAACCAGGGCACGCCTCGGGCATCCTGGCCAGAGCTACGGAGAGGAGAGTCGCCAGAATACCAAAACTCGCCGGGGCAACGAAAAGTCCCTTAGGAGGCTTCATTTCGTATGGGACAGCAGCCCCGCAGGATTTTGAAAACTTAAAACTTTGACCACCTCGTTCAGTCGAGGCACCGTCAACGATAAACACTTTACTGATGATTCAATATCGCCCAGTCTTATCTCCAGGACTCACTCGAGTTTTCCTGTACGCCGCGTATCTTAACTAATCTTATCACAGCTATCAGCCATGACACATTGGCCGGAACACAGTACCAAGTAACCTCCCTGTCCCATTAACAATTTTACATAATTCCTATAAAATATTATTATTATTCGTCCGGAATTTCCAATGCAGCCACTACGACCCAATACACATGATTACAAGTAAACCAATAAAATGTCGATCGTTGACGCAGTTCAATAATTTGTAACAAATTATTGTCAACCAGGATAATTAAGGTGTGAAGGACAAAGAAAAGGTAGGCAATATATTTTTTTTACACCGTGATCCATATTTTATTGAATATACGTGTATTCAATAAAATGCATATATCGTATCAGATTACACGTGTTTAATTTTCTTTTTCTTTGCATTGTTTTTTCTTTTCAACACCAGGGCATCACCGTAGTCTCGCAACAGAGCAGACTCGCTGTGATTACAACATTATGTATAGAACGCACAGTATAGTTATTCTTTTAGGGTAAACAACGCGATCGACCTACGCGACGATCTCAGTATCTCGATCCTCGTATATTATTGTTAATCGATCAAAATAATCTAGAATCCTTAATTAGGGATCGTGAGTCAATAATGATCCCTAATTAGGTTCGACTCTCGCGATATTGACTGCGGTTTCCTCTCTTCATTGCTCCTACGTCAAATTCGTCTTCTCTAACCTTAATTCACTAAATGCAGTGCTACTCACATCGGCATCGTGGGCTTCTCAATTATACAATCGTACAGGGCCTTCCAGTCGAATTGTAATTTTCTGGCTTATCGAGTGCGGATCTATTATTTTTAAACAGTTTCCACGTAAGGAGGATCAAACGCAATTTCATTTGCAGTCAGTCGTAGTAGAGAACTGGAGCATTGGGAAAACAAGATGATTGGCTGCAACGCGACTGGAACGACCTGTACTTTCATCATTGTATACATACTTCATAAATATATAACATATGCATATGCATACCGTAGCTGGTAATATGTTACAATTAGTTGGATATACACGGAGTACATACATGTGCATATTCAGCTTTTTCTCTTTCGTTATACGCACACGTATTTATACAGCTTTGTACACAACATTTATTCATGTCTGGTCGCTGAAGTTCCGAATCAACTCTGAAGTAAAGCTGCAGGCGCAGGATACATCGTAATTGCAATAGTCGAAGCTGCGTCGCGAGAATGAGAAAATCTTTGAGGATTATTGTCTTCCGCATATTCAAGTATCTCGTCGGCCAGTGTGATAAGTAAAATAAATTTTGCAGAAAAATAATGTATTTTCATTGGCATCCAACGTGGAGAATTCTTGGAGAATTCGCCTGCAGATTTCTCTTTTTTCTAGCTGCACGTGCATAATTGGGCATCGAGGTGTTGGCTGTTGGATCGGAAGCTGCAGTGGACCACATGATTAAATATATATAGTTTTTAGTATAGTAGACGGCATTTAGGGTATCTACTGGATAAACAATTTTGCCTCTACCTGTACTCGCGCATCAACTCGGGTCCGAGGGCACTGTATGCTCAGTCAGGCGTTAAGTTTTATAGAAGTGTAAAATTTTTATTGGTCCAGAGTTTCTCACGAGATGAGCCCTCCTACCGGAACCTTCTTTACTTCGTTCCAACAATATAACGTACATGGAGCCCGATCGGTAGGTTTGTTCGCGGTTGGTAAACCTGGGCCTCCTCCGCATTTTAGTACCTCTGACGACCGGCGTGCGCTCGTTAGGCTTTCAAACTATTCTCGATTCCTGTCGATTCTCGCGCTGATAACTCGTTCGATCTGTCGAAGAACAACGAGCATTCGATTTTCGTGTGGGAGCGTTTTAATGCCGGCGACAGTTAGATGGCGATATTGAAGTTCGTTATTTCTCGGATTTTAACGTAAGACGGTTGTACCAATTTTACGAGTACGTGTTACCAATCGTGAAAGGGAAATGTCAATGGAATTTCATATAAATTTAATTGGATTTCAATGAGGTGTGTTGACAGTTCATTTGTGGCAAATGCGACGAGTCTAAATCGCGTTTAGATTTTGATCCTTTTTTTTCTTATCATTTTGTACACTTATCCGAATGGACCCGCCGATCTTTCCTTTGGCGCAAGTTTAGCATTCTGTCATTGTGGGGGCACTAGCAGACAACGACCACGATTAAAGACACATACATGCACTCAGAGATAGACACGCTCGCAAGTACATAGGTATGCAAATTCTCAGGCACACAACTGAGACAAGTAGCGGGAATTGGAGAAAGAAAAAAAGATGAAAAATATTTTCCAAAGTAAAAAGCGAATTTTCACCGAACAACACGAAATTGTGTTTACACGTGGTTCAATCCCTGCAGTCAGTCTGAATCTAATTGACAATGTTCAAAAGGTTCACTTCGCTCCTAGCTCATTTTCACGATCTGCGAATACGTGACTACAGGCTATTTCAGACGAGTACAAGGTGGTCGTTTTGTGAGAGACAGAGAAAAAAATGTTCAAGAAAATTCCATTGGCTCTCGTAGAAATTCACCATTCTTTCTTCCTGAAGTACGAATGATACGCACACGCGTGTCGCAATTTCTTGCTGATATGCGAACTTGTACAGGCCGTTTCATCGCGTTGAAAAGTTTCAAACTTTATTTCTTTTTTTCTGTCGTGTAAGTACTAATAGAGGTGTGGTATCGATAATAGACGCTTTACCCCAATCAACCTAAACTGTGTTTTTCCTTCCAATTGATAAATTCACATTTAACTTCTACAGGCCTAACGAATCACAACGCAGTAAAACGTATTCATCCTGACAACTATTGAATTGCTATCGCGTGCTTTATTTTTTTTTCGCTTTTTCTATCAGTTTTTTAATTCGCCATCGACCGCTCCCAGATGATCTAATTTCCATGCTGAGCAATCCCAATTAAACTTAATAGTCGGTTTTGGCAATGAGACGTTTTAAAAAAATAGTATGCCATATGTAAAATAAATTTTGTCACGATACATAGAAGAACGACCGGAATGAGTTCTCCATCTGGTTTTCTGTCACTTGCATAAGTCATGAAAACGGTCGATACGCATCGTATATATCACAAGATCACTTTAGCCTCTAAATTACAGCCTAGTCCGATTAACTTGTCTAATTTTACGTGTCATATATGTTTCCATTACTTCCTCTTTATACTCAATATATATTTGCCAAACCTATAGTAGTCTACTCTACCGAAAGCTTGTTTTCTCTACGTGAAGTTGCCTTTTCTTTTTATTTCCTTTCCTCGTGCCAACTTGCAAATATTCCTCGATACCTAATTGCAAATTTCAATCTACAACAAGCACAATTATGTGATTCGCTGGTTCTTTCGGCATCGCAATCTTCCCCGTATTAATTGTTTCATCCTAATTTCACAATAATTATTCTTTTCGATGTCTTTGCGTATTTGTCAATTCCAAGGGTTCCCAGGGTTCCCCCATGCGTCATAGATACATCGATCAACAAGATCCAAATAGAATATTCCATAATCTTTTTTTTTATCATTGATCACTCCTCTTTCTCTTGAAATCCTTGATCCTTCCTAGCCGAGTATCAAAAGTTGACGTAGGAAAGATTCGAGGAAGAATCTCGAAAGATCAAAGCGCGACAAGTGTTTCATCGTGGTATTAAAGTATCATCACATAAAACATCGAACCAGCCTCACCTTTCGAGGTGTAGGAAAACGTGATTGTTTTCAACCCTTTCAGCCTCAATTATTTAAAAGAGGAACCATTGTGGCTATCCTTTCTTTCTGACGTCCCAGTGCTCTTCAGTTTAATCAACGAATCACGATAAATATCGATTATTATCTTTGTATGTACCTCTTAAGTTTTATTAATGAAATCATATTTTATGGAGTTCCCTTACGGGCTAAGAGGGCAAACGCAACGTTAATAATTACAGCCGGAAAAGAAATACAGGCAATATCAATAATGATAATCATGGAAATTCGTATCCTCAGAGTGACGATTACAATTGCACTGAACAGATTGTCAAAAAGCAAAAAGACACACCGCATATACAAGTGTGTAGCGATATACGTTATTGCCTATCTCTTTTCTACGATAATCATGTTTTAAGCACAAGTCTGTTGTTACTTTCACGTATGCCCACGTAAAGAGAAAACTACCATAGAAATTATTAGGAGTGCTCAAGGGGAAAAATGAAAAGAAACGAAAAGTGAGCTTGTAAGGCTATCAAGACTTCGTTGTTAGTGTTCAGTTCCTCTTGCTAATTCACCATGAAGAGTAGATAGACTGTCGAAGGTCGAACAGATATCTTTTTCTTTAACATAGATGTTTATTCTTTCCTCTTCCTTCCCGGGAAGAGCACGACTACCGGGTTCGTGATCTTTTCGAAATTGAATCCGTCTTCTTATTTTAGGCGCAAAATTTTCAATGTTTCTCATCTTCTCGTGTGTTCCACATGTAATAGATACTCGTGTTTAATTTTTTGCCAGTTATATTTAAATCCCTTCAACACGTTAATATAGGGCGCAACGTGTTCTGGCGTCTTATCAATGTCGCCTGGCAACATGATGCACAAAATGACAGATCCGTATTACGTTGCGACATTTCAAGAAGGAGAGAAACTCTAAATTGTAATGTCATGCAGCAACGTGATCGGTAAATGAACAAATGGGCAACTTATGTCTTCATGACAGATGCCGGAAAAACGAGGCGCGCCAATTAGCGTTTGATTTCAACAGCACAAAATTTCTACTGTTCTCTTATTAGAAGTAATATATATTTACATAGACTATCTACATTATCTACACATCAACAATAAACAGTTAGAGCGTTAGCATTTTTTGTTGCTTCGTAGCATCGCGTGTTGAGTCGCGTAGCGTGATAAATTGGATTTCAAAAATTTCTCTGTTGCCACCGAACACATCTAAATAAGGTATTCGCGTGTATATAGGTATACCTACTGTTCTCGCTAATTTCGACAACGTCACGACGATCCATTTTATTGACAGATAAGTAGGATTCTCGTAGTCCTAGTTATCCTCAAAATTCTATTCAAATTCGAAAACTCATGTGTGTAACAAATAAAAAGAAATAAAAAAGGGAAAACTTGAAAGAGAAGTAAGATCGTGATACAATGTAGTGTGAAAGAAATAGAAAAAAAAAGTAGACAAAGAAGAAATTCGATAAAATAAATAAGCTAATTATTATATGCATATATGTATATATAAAAATAAACGACAATAATTGGACACTAGTTCCGTGCAAACGCGACACAAAAACAGACTTCATTTTCGCCGAGCACCGCTTCGAGCATCTTCTTGGCACTTCGTCGCGACTCGAGTTCCGCTTCGAAGTCACTCCTTCGTTATTCTTCATTCTTTTTCTCGGATCCGAACAACTTTTATCAAGGATTTCCAGCAGCTCGTTCAACGATCCTCTTCTAGTCAAGACTGAGAGTCTCTGAATCTCTTTTCATCCGAAATGCACCAAACACAATTCGAGAGTTTCCGGCCGGCGGGACTCCGCGGTCTCCAAATTCTCTTTCCCCATTGCCTCTTCTCCTCTCTAATCTCTAGCCGGAGTTTTCTTTCTGATTGGCCGATCGACCTTTCACGTAAGGTTGGGCGAGGAGCAGGACGATATGGCCAGCCCTGGCCCCTGATCCTATATGAATGCCCAGCACTCAAGGGTCTTAACGACAAAGTCCTCGTGCGGCGCCAACGGCTCGTTACCGTAGGTGCTGCACGACTGCGTTCTGCCCTGATACAGGTCACCGTCAAGCCACAGACCAAATTTACCACTGAAACGCAATAAATATTTAACAATTATTCCTCAATTCTCTTCAAAAAAAAAAAAAAAAAAAAAAAAAAAAA